ATAGTGGTGCCACTAACAGAGACCTGCCCTTTGCGAAGAGAGGAGATGGGGATACTCACAGAAGACTGATCCACTGAAACACTGGGGGCTCCTCTCTGATTCCTCCAGCCTTGGGGCATCAAGGACAACTGCAGAGACAATGGGAGTCACCAGAAACCTAGCAAACTTTCAGCTCCAGGGCAAAAGGAGATATTGAGTATACCATCAGAAGTAAGTCTACCCACCTGGAGTCAAGTCAAGGCTACATACACTAAGGAAGAAGTTACGCTATGAAAGGCACAGAGTCCTATGTCTCCTGAGAATCTCTTTATGGTAATCCTAGCTGCTTTAACCTGTACATCTGCAATGAGTGTCTCTGAGCACATGTATTGGTCTTATGTTCTTCATTCTCCTTTGTTTCAACTTGTAGATTGGATGAGTTCAACTCCTCTTATCCTTATAATGACCCCTGTGTTCATGGTCAGACCTTGGGACTATCATCTGAGAAAAAGGACTATGTTCATTTTTTCCTTGGGATTTGTATCATTTCTCATTTACATAGGATGACATAACATCTGTGTTCTTATTAAATGGAGAACACGGGCTTACTTTTACAAGGTACCAGAGCTTCTAATCATGTGGGTCTCTTTTCAAACTATTCTCTAGAGTTTTCTACTCAATATAATAATGTAACCAGTAGTACTAGACACAGTTTGGATCCATTTTTGGTGGCAGAGTATTGCACACAATGTTTTCATTGTCCTAATATTATAAAGCGCTTGCTTATAGGCTATTCACACATCAAATAACAATTAGATTTATCCACAACATTAAATCAAAACCACTCTAGGTATCTTGCGTTTAAAAAAGATTTAAAAATGGGGAGATGTTGGGGCACAATTCTGTGTGAGGACATTGTTGAGTGCTTGTGAGAAACCTCCAAGCAACCAAGATAAGAAAGAGTCTTGTGATGTCAGTTTATTCAAGAACACAGAATTGTTTTCAGATTTTGCTTTCGTGCCCCTCCCAGGTGTATTGGATAGGAGTGAGTTTACTTCATATTATTCTTTACAACTGGCTATTGTTATCTGTTCATGTGCCCCTGTGGAAAAGCGTATTTCTGCTCCGTGTGGCTTGCCTTTGTGAGTGAACACTTTGTGAAGCCGCTTAACTCTCAGAGTGTAAATTGTCTGATGATCTGAATGATGCTGGCTATTGCATGAGACTTTAGTCCAACTCATTTATTGACTCCATTTTCCCAGGTCCCACCATCACTAGAGTGGTAAATAGTACTTCACTATGGCCATCTAAAATATACAAAAACAAATGAGGTAGTTTTTATAAAGGAATTGTATTTAGTTTTTCAATATTTTTATTTTGGAATATTGTTTATAATAATGATCTTATTTTTCCTAGAGATTAATTGTTTAATAATCTTTGAGTGACTTTTTAAATTTCTTAGAATTTGATAGTGTTTATATTCTAAATGACTTGATTAAAATAACAGATTTCACTTTATTTTTAAGTAAAGATCTGAAACAATAAAGAAATGTAAATATTCTCATTAGGTGGTAAGATAGGAAATAAGCATGCTGTAAGGGTTAGGCAAGGGAATCAACATTCATTCTCCTCAAGTTTCAATAATACTAGTTATTTATCTGCTTGTTCGTAGATATGCATTTTCTAATAATTTGATTTCTTTCATAGTTTTTTAAAATTTCAGTCCCAAGGAAAAGAGCATAAAATGCAAAGGCTATCCTATATGAATTTGTTGCCACTAAAAAAGAAGATTTTTGTATCTGTATAAAACTACTGGTTTCAATTGACAGCTAGCAGAGAACAGTGTATATTATTCATATCAAGCTTAAAAAATATTTACAAGCTACATATTATGGGTTTAAAGTGCTAGAAATTAAAAACTTCAATGAATTTGGATACAGAGCTTTAAACATGACCCTTTTGTGACTGATTCCTTTTCTGTATCTATTCACCTCTATTTGCTCTTCATTTTCTTCTACTGTATCACTTGTGTTGAACCAGTGGTGGTGAACAAGTTTGTTGACATGATTCATCCTTCTGCAGTATAGGTGCTGTCTCTGTGAAAGCTGACCAGTGTTTGGCAAACACTTGAATAAATAGATTGTTTAAAAGTAAGAGTGGTATGCTCATATACATACACATATATACATATACATGTATGCATAACCAGTAGTTCTTTGTGTGTGTGTGTGTGAATGTGTGTGCTGTTGTTTGTGTGTTCTCTTATGTTTTCGAGACAGGATCTCTTATTGAATCTGGAGCTCATTGATTAGGCTGGCTAGTGAGTGGGCTCCAGGAATCCATCTGTCTCCGATTTCCCTCTTCCCACAGTGCCGGGGTTACGAAAGTGCTTCCACATCCAGCCTTTCATGTGGGTCCTGGGGAACTCGGGGTCAGTGCCTCATGCTTTTACAGTGTGCACTTTACCAACGGAGATCCCTGCTCTGTGCTCAGAGTTTGATTTCCTGCCTGTCTTTTCTCCTTTCCTCCTCAGTCTTCTCTCTCTCTCTCTCTCTCTCTCTCTCTCTCTCTCTCTCTCTCTCTCTCTCTTTCTCTCTTTCTCTCTCTCTTTCCCTTTCTTCCTCTTCTTCCCTCCTTCTTTCCTTCTCTTCTTGCCACACTAAACTTTCCCATGCTTATATCCCTATAAAGACTGCAACAAAGCCGTGAAGACGCCACCAGAGATGCACCTAGGTAGCTGTGATGGGAGAGGATCAAGAATGAATCAGTCAAATGTCCTGTTTATATGAGGCATCTGAGGAGAGTCTCAGGACTATATGTAATATTTCTTCAATATTATTTGGTCTTGGAATTTGGAATATAAAATAGAATATCAATGATGAATAAGGGATATAAAATACTTTTTAATAATAATGTGAATTCTCAACATTTTTCTACCTCTGTGAAATCACACTCCTTAAAAGCGACAATTCAGTAATTTGAGGGTCAGCTAGCCAGTTTAATAATTGAAATACAAATGGCTCATAACAGTTTGTGAGAGTTTCAGCTCCTTTAATTCCTCTGGGTTATTACAAATAAAGTTTAAAATGAGAAAGAAATCAAGTATTTCATGTGTGTAATGAAGGGTCTCTACCTTCACGGTTCCTTCCTGTGCTATGAAGTTTACGTTTGTATTAGGAAGGACAAGTAAAACTACCACTGGCCCCTGGAGGTGGTTCCCAGGACTCTGTAGCTTGAAACTTCAGCATGAGTGCTGTAAGGAAGGGAGAAGAAAGAGGGAATTGTGGGGATGGTTATTTGGACAACTTTAGAATAAATTCAAAAATGAATGAATTTAAATGAGGATGACCTCACAATGCTGTGACCCAAGCCATATTTCAGTGTTATTTGTACCAGTGAATACAGGCATGGTATCACTTGAAAGCCTTAAGCAATCCTTCCAGGGAAGCCTAGACTTTCTAAGAATACGAATTTACCAATTGAAATGAAGAGGACTCTCAAGACTTCTGGAAAGAAATCAAAAGTGTATGAAATCATTTGAATAGCTCAGGTAACTAGGGATAGGTGCCTTTTTAAATTCTAACAGAACACATGGGATTTTGAGGGCTACAGGAATTTTTCTTGTTTAAATAGCTTACTCTAATATGAATTTGTTTATAAATGTCAGTGTGTTTTTAAAATAATATTTTCATTCATTGGGTTTCACATAGACTAGCTGGATTGCATGGTTTATAATATAACTTGAGTATATCTTGTAAGTTTAAAACACAGTTATACAAAGACTGTTTTATATGAGATTTAAAATTGCTATTGCTAATGATTCAGCATTACCATTTGCATTGAGTTCTGTATCTAAAAGTTAAAGGATGTTATTCTTCATCTTTAATCTCAGTGTGTAAAAACGTTTCAGCCTTCGGGCAGGAGCTTTGGTTCTAATACATACATTAAGGAAACAGCTGAGTCAGCAGCTTGCAAAGGAGAATTTATGATTATATAATTTCTTTTTATGCTTCAACAGTGAAAAATAAAGCTGCTGGAAGCAAACAAAACTGAAAAATATGTTCCTAAAACACTCAGAGACATATTAATTAGAAATTCTATTCTGGACTTCCAAAACATTTATAGGACAATATTTACCAGATTTATATTATCAAATGACCTTTACAAGTCTTGGTTTTCAACAGCAATCAGAGTTCTCCGAAGCCACACTTCTTTTGACCTTGAAATTCTAACCAGCTATTTAATGTCTTTTAGCAAACTTATAATGTCTCTGGCTCCCTAACTGAACTTATCTAAAATGAATAAGAGTGCATATATTTAAACTCTTACATTGTGTAATTCTTACTCTAACTATTTAGCATCCAAGGGCAGGTGAGAGGCTATTGATCCTTGGCCTGCCTTTCCTTATTGCATAAGTCTTCAGCTTTCTTTTTGCAGGATGTCCCTCAACAGAAGCTTAGGCTGACGAAAGAGCTGCATTATACTGCAGTCGCTAGCGCTGCTCCAGCTCTCTGCCTGAGGATTCAGCTGAGCTCAACAGAAATAGGCAGGGCCAGAATACTGGTCCATGGGAATGAAGGCTTTACCCAGAAACTAACAGAAGCTAGGGGTAAGCTACATAGTTCCCTCATTTGCAGTACTTCTCTCCATCATTAAGCAACTATTGTGACAGAAGGACCTTCCATCATAAACTCCTCTGCCTTGTGGCTGCCTCCTTACCATTGCTTTAACATGAACTTCCCACACTCCATTCTACTTGAAGATATCAATTGCAGTTAACTGCACCAGCTCCCTACAGTCAGCTGTTCTTAAAATGCTCAACTTTTACAACTGTTCCCGAGTTATAATGAATGCCCCCCACCATATATAAGCATCCCCTCCACCAGAAACATGTTTACTAATTAGCAGAAAAGGAAAGGAAAAGTTCATGCAGCAGGACAGAAAGAACAAGCATCTTGCATCCCACTGTCAATCACTGGCATTCCATGGGATGCTCACTTGAGAACTTGTGCTTTTCTTACCTTGGATGTGAATGATTCTGTCTTGATCCGGAGTGTAGCTGTCTGGAAGGTGATCAGCCCAGCAGCCTGAGAGCAGCACCAGGAGAAGGAGCCTCTTCATCCTTGTAGCTCAGACCCTTCTCCACTCTGAGGATCATACAAAGAGGCTTGAGAAATTTGGCACCCTTTGGAGTGTTGCACTGCACAAATTATTACCGCCTTATCATCGTAGAATGGGTCTGTAAAAATATTTAACCCAATCTGTTCAGAAAGTTCCTCTGGCAGCCTTTGAGAGCTGATGACCGAGCTTTGAAACATTTCAGTTCCTGTTAGGCAGCCAGAGTCCAAACAGTGTTTAACTCTGTCTTTGCAGAATTGTGGATCTGGAAATTTAAAACACTGTGTTTTTGGCTCGAAGACTCACAGAGAGATAGAGGGAGCTTTAGTACGGAGGCAAGCACTCTCTTAAAACATTAACCCCTGTGTTTGCAGTATAAGTTAACCAAGGAGCAATTTGGCATATGTATTTATGAATATTTATGATAGCCAGCCTAATTAAAAACTGAATCTTAGACCAGAGCAAATACGGGATATTGCACGAGCCCTGACACTCTCTTCACTGCACACGTGGCTTCCTAAGCAGGTTAATTTGCTTCTTCCAGATAGAAAAGAGGATGAAAAATCAAAACCAAAACCAACAATCAGTCTTTGCTAAGCAGCCCCTTCGCTAGAGGCACTTACCATCTTACACACTGGGGGCTAGGGTGAAGAGTTGGAAATTTGGACAACCAGATTAGGTCTGTGCAAGATACACCGCCACAGTCACACAGATTGATTTTCATTCACTCCGAGCTAAAGTGCTGACACACTAACATGGAGTGTCAGGTAGGGTCTCTGCAGTCAGCAGAGCCCTGCAGGGAATGGCCCTGCCAGACTCACGGGCCCATTAGGCAAATGAGGAGCTGAAATAAAAAGGGAGACCAAGCTCTGATCCTGAGCAAAAGAGGCAGCGCCATCCCTTGCCTGTCCTTTATCAAAGACTGACTCCATGGGAGAGGACAGAAAAACACTTCCCCTGAAACTTTCTCGGTCGAAGGACCAAAAGGTAATTTCAAGCAATACAAACCTTTCATCATTCGCAGTATTGCAGGGAAGAATTTCAGTGTAGTTTCTGTTCTAGTGTAAAAGCTGAGGCAAACATCAAGAAGGACTTTCTTTTGCTCCCCTGCACACAGCAGCCTTAATAACACTGGCTATTTTTAAAACTGAAATTGCAGAGTTCTGGCTTCTCATACTAATTTTTTTTTTTTCCAGGAAAGCCTGGCTCCCTGGAATACTTATATTAATGAGTTTCCTGACTGCTCCTGGAGGTCCTTGAGGGAGAAGCATACTCCATAGCCCGATGCCCCCACCTGACTGTCTCCTGCTTCTCTAGGAATTCCCCAGGTCTCTCTGGGACTGAGAGCACACCTCTCTGCTGTTCTATTAAGAAACTGACTGGGGGTGGTGAAGCATGCCTTTAATCCCACCTCTTGGGAGGCAGAGGCAGGCAGATCTCTGTAAGTTCGAGGCCAGCCTGGTCTACAAGAGCTAGTTCCAAGGCAGGCTCCAAAGCCCTGTCTCAATAAATCAAAAAGAAAAAAAGAAGAAACTGCCCTTGCTATTGCTGTGCTGCTCTGGGTTTAGTCTTTCATATTTGCTAACATTTCTTTTCTTAATGTCACACACAAGAAGAAGATGGTGACTATGCAGCTCATTTGTATTGGGAACCAGGTGTGGTCTCTTCATTTTATTTACTAATCTTATTTCCAGAACTTTGTTTCCCCGAGGATTTTGTAAAATTTATTTTTGTACCTATGACTTTGTCCAGAAGATTAAAACTAATGAATATTTCTCACTTTCAACCTAAAACTGTGCTTTAGGTGTAAATAATTAGAAGATAGGCAACTTTATGTCTGTAATTTTTAATATTGAGATAATTATACAGATATGAAGCAATAATCAAGCACTACTAGAGGTATGCTGTGCTCTCTGCTTGCTCTAGGAGTCGGGGGAGAGGTTGTAACGTGAAATAGACAATATGAAAAGAAGAATGCAATTTTAACAAACAAAAATGAAAGGCATTCTAGAAGACTGGTAAATGAGCAAAGGTAGAGAAATCACTAGATTAATTTTTATATCACTGTGATCAATCACATATAGTTTAATTTACTGGATGCTATAAATATATGCTAAAATATAAATGGTTAATTCAATCACCTAGTTACCTTAAATCATTTTACCTAAAATCGTACATATATTTAATATCTAGCTAGATATATAGGTAAGTAGACAGACACACCAAAAATAGAAGATAGATAGATAGATAGATAGATAGATGGAGGGAGGGAGAGTATAACTCCTTTAATTCCACATCTCTATATTCAAACATATCACTAAAGGTGCATTGCACTAAATTAAGTTAGTTCTGAAATGCCAATATGATGAGAGCATCCTATTTCTCTCTCTGTAGGGGGCAAAGATTGTAGTAATGATGATGATGATGATGATGATAATTAACTTCAATTTATTTTAATTACTTTTTCTTCCTTGCTGAGTAATATGCCATGAACATTGCTCACTGGGGCTAATGTTGTGAAACAAATATATCCACTTTCCTGTTCTCGTGCTCAAAGTTATTAATCTAGTAAGTGATTTATTTTTAAGCAAGTCCTACTTTAGTTGTTTTTATTTTTTTGTGATGGAGACATATTTGCTGTTTTTCTTATCTTTTTTAATGTATGCATGCTGCTTTGAAACAACAATGATTTTAGCATTTGAGTTCTGCTATATGTGAATATACACGATAAATGATACACGGTCTGGGGGGGCATATTCCCCTGACTCATTTATGATGTAGACCTGATGACATGAATCTACTTGGTGGCCCATAAGAAAGCATACACAGATATGTATGCAATCTTTGAAAAGACCATAGATGTGACTTATCTTTATAGAAAACTGAAGACTCCAAAGTGACCACACTGGTATTAATCCAATTCACACAGAAACAAGGAAATTATCTGTTTTTTAAATCATGGGAGGATATCACCATTTTAATAATCATGAAATCAGAAATAATAATCAGAAAAGGGAAATTTAGGGACTCAATTTTCAGGAATTGGAGGAAATTGCAAACAGAGCAGATTCTCTGCCTTTTGGGTATATTTGCTATACCAGGGTACCAAGGGTCTGCATGCTGGTCCCCAAAGCTGAGGTAAACTCAGACATTGATGGTCATGAGAGTTAATGTACGGATGAATCTGCCTCATGTTTCTAATGACATCTTCTCTGAATATCCATGTGTGTTAAGTGAAAATTTCCAGTTCTTGATGTGAGTAAAATTCAGAAAATTAGGGATACTTTTATGTAACCAACTTATTAACAGCACCTGAATAGAAATCAGACTTCACCAGAAAACTCACACATTTGACAGCCTTTTTAAAAGCAAGTTTGATTTTGTGTGCATCTGTATTTGTATGTGTAGTGTGTGTGTGTGTGTGTGTGTGTGTGTGTGTGTGTGTAGGTCAGAGACTGACACCCAATGCCTTTGAATTCTGTTCACCTCACTACATGAGACAGTCTCTCAGTGAACCTGGAAGTCATTGGTAGACTAGGCTAGTAGACTAATGAGTTCCAGGGACCTGCTTCTCTTTCTCCCCATGGTTATAATTACAGATGTGTGCTGTCTTGCTTGACTCGAGATGTGGATAATTGGCATCTGAACTCAGGTCCTTCCTTGTTCTTTCATGATGAGTATTTATCAATAGCGTCACTTCACCCATTCTGGTTGTCACCAAGCCTTCCAAGTCTTGCTGCTATAATGTTTGTGGTAGTTTGAATTCGCCCACTATAAACGAATGGGAGTAGCACTATTAGGAGGTGTGGCTTTGTTGGAATGGATATGGTCTTGCTGGAGGAAGAGTGTCACTGGGGGAAGGCTTCGAGGTTTCCTATGCTTAGGATACCACCCAGTGTCTCAGTCTGCTGCCTATTGCTTGAAAAATGGGTTAAAATGGACTCTCAGCTACCTCTCCAGCACCATATCTGCCTGCACAATGCCATATTTGCCGCCATGATAATGGACTGAACCTCTGAACTGTAAGCCACCACCTCAATTAAATGTTTTCCTTTACAAGAATTATAGTGTTATGAGACACAATATAGCAGTGTTAAGAGAAAAGTTCAAAGCACTAAATGCCTACATAAAGAATCTGAAAAAATCCCACACTAGTGAGTTAACAGAACACCTGAAATCTCAGTTTTAGGAATAGAAATTTTTGAGTTGTTGACTAATGGGTTCCATAGATTACAAATATTATAGGATATTGTCAAAGTTCTTGGTTACCATAACTTGATGGTAAGACCCTATTCCCGAAGACATCATATAGTTGATTATTAGAACAAGAAGAAATTAAGCTGGTACTGACCTAGAAATTTCACTCTTATTGATGGAGGTACTGTGCATACTATTGGGGCAGAAAAGCAATCATCAATGTCACCTAGCTGTGAAGCTTGTGAGGTACACTAAGTATGTCCATAGTACAATAGTGGCACGAATGCTATGGGAGGAATCGGTTTCTGGTTGGATGTAAGGCCTCCTCCCTGAGATGAAACTCAGGCTCTAAGGAAGAACCTAATACTAATATGCTAAATGGACAAAGTAGTAAAATTACTCTTATGACTTATTGTTCTATCCATTTAACAAATCCTTCAGGGAACTGCTTTTTGCAGCAGATGACAATTTACACAAAGAACTTCAACTGGTCAACATGTAAGAGAATAAAAACCCATGGTCTGCTAACCTCTAAGTCAGGGAGCACGTATCATACCTATCCTCCAAGGCTCAGGGATCCTCAGGGAAGAAAGGGAGGAAAGATTATAAGGGCTAGAGGAAGCGGACAACTTCAAGGAAATAGTGTTTTCCATACCTAACGGCAGCTGAACAAACACACTCGTAGCAGTTTTGAGAGCATGCACAAGACCTGTGCATATTTATGCCAGAAAAAAAATTCCCTGTATGGATAGGGGAGATGGGTAAGGAATTCTACCAGTACCCGAGTAACTACTGGCATTTAACAT